CTTACTTCCTTCCTTGTTTTCTTTCTGCGTTTCTGCCTGTCTTTCTTTCTTTCCTTCTTTCTGTCTGTCTGTATTTCATTATTTCTTCTATTTTTCTGTCCTTATTTCTGTTTATCTCTCTCCCTCTCTCCCTCTATCCCTCTCTCTCTGTCTCTCTGTCTTTCTGTCTCTCTCTCTCTCTTTCTCTCTCTCTCTCTCTCTCTCTCTCTTTCTCTTTCTCTTTCTCTCTCTTTTCTTTCTTTTCTCTCGCTTTCTCTCTTTCTCTCTTTCTCTTTCTCTTTCTCTCTCTTTTCTTTCTTTTCTCTCTCTCTCTTTCTCTCTTTCTCTCTTTCTCTTTCTCTTTCTCTCTCTTTTCTTTCTTTTCTCTCTCTTTCTCTCTTTCTCTCTTTCTCTCTTTCCCTCTTTCCCTCTTTCTCTCATTCTCTCTTTCCCTCTTTCTCTCTTTCTCTTTTTCTCTCTTTCTCTCTTTCTCTCTTTCTCTCTTTCTCTCTTTCTCTCTTTCTCTTTTTCTCTCTCTTTTTCTCTCTCTCTCTCTCTCTCTCTCCCCCTCTCCCCCTCTCTTTGTCCGCGTGCGCGCGCGTGTGTGTGTGTGTGTGTGACACTGCGTGCGTGTGTGTGTGTGTGCATTCGTGTTCGTGTTTGTGTTCGTGTTCCGTTTCCTGTTCGTGTTCCTGTGCCTGCGCCTGTTCCTTTTGGTGTTTGTGTTCAGGTTCGGGGTCGGGTTTGGGTGTGGGTCTGGGTCTGGGTCTGGGTCTGGGTTTGTTTGTGTTTGTGTGTGTGGGTGTGCGTTTGTCTATGTCTGTCTGTGGGTGTCTGCGTGTGTCTTGTCGCATGTGTGTGTGTTGTGTGTGTGTGGATGTGTGGGTGTGTGTGTGTGTTTGCCTTTGCCTTTGCCTTTGTCTTGGTCTTCCTCTTCGTCTTCGGGTCTGGGTCTGATTCTGGGTGTCTGTGTGTCTGTGTGTCTATGTGTTTGCGGGTGTGTGTGTGTGTTGTGTTTGTGTGTTTGTGTGTGGGTGGGTGTGTGGGTGTGCGTGTGTCTGCACGTGTCTTTTCGCAAATGCGTGCGTGGGTGTGTGTGTGTGCATGTGTGCATGTGTGCGTATGTCTGTGTTTCTGTGTGTTGTGTGTCTGTGTGTCTGTGTGTTTGTGTGTCTGTGTGTGTGTGTGTGTCTGTGTGTCTGTGTGTCTGTGTGTCTGTGTGTTTGTGTGTCTGTGTGTCTGTGTGCGTCTGCGTCTGCCTCTGTCTCTGTGCGCGGGTGCCTGTAGGTGCGCGTGTGTGGTTGTGCGTGTGCCAGTGAAGACAACTGAGGTTTTCGCCCTGCCTTTCACTTTAACAAATGAATCGCACGCACACACAGGCCAGCGTTCAGTTGGCGACTTTGAAGCTGCGCGGTGCGCAGTTGAGGGCCCCGCCTACTCTTTTGCCGACCTGTTGTGCTTGCTAAGCCAGGATTGTTCGCACAACTTTGATCGAATCATAGCCTTGTCCTTCGTGCTGTCCAAGGATCATCCTCTTCTACGAGGTGGCTGCCAACGCCATCACAGAGGCTGAGCTGTTGCACAAATCCAAGAGCATGCGGATTTACCTGATAGGCCTGGCGAGGCGTGGGTCGAGCGATTGGCTGGGTGTTGGGCTCAAATTCGGGGACGCTTAGTTGGACGCTGCAAAAGCATGGGAGAGGAAAGCCGACCAGGTGCGCCCCGGACAGTAGTCAGCAGTTGCGTTAGTAGCTTTACTTCCTCCCTTTAAAACTTTGAAGGGCTGGAGGCCATCTGCCATCTTGAACTGCTCACACGGTTGAGTGTCGCTTTGTCTCAACTAAAACGGTCGCTCCATAGCGTGCCTGTCGCGCCGTACTATTGCACCTTTATGGTGTTGGTGAGCCAGTGGACCTGGCGAGAAACATTGTGAACAATTCAATCTTGCTGGGAGGTTTGCGTGCCAGGGTCATTGGGCAACCCAAGCAGGTTCCTGGTCGCGATGTCTTGCCTTCCACGGAACCCAAAGCCTTCGATGGCTTTGCACGCCGCGATCTGCCTTCCAAGTTCCTGCGCCACTTTGTTTGCCCCAGGGCGGACGTCCGACTCCCGCTTGCTTGGCGGTCAAAGTGCTTGGGCTTGTTGAGCAGCTTTGGCCTTTGGCGGTCTCCACTGCTTCGGGGGGCTCAGCGCTCGCTCTCGCTGTCTGATAGCTGGCTTCTGTCAGGCAAAGTAACCCCTATTCCGTCTACTCTCCTAACCTTGCCTTTCACAGAGCCGCCTGGGTGGTGGGCAATCTCGCGAGGCCCGTTCCGGATCCCCAACTGCTGTTGTGGTCGAACCGGCCAGGTTCCCCGGCTCTGTTTGAGCCGGGCCGCTTGACTCAGCGGGCCGATCCTTCTATCTTGTTGTTTCCTTTGCCTTTCCTCGGCGTCTTGACTGCTATTGGATCTTTAGACTTTAACTTTTTGGGAAATCAAGGGTTTTCCACCAACCCCCAAAAAGTTAAACTTTTTGCAGGGGGGTCAACAGCAACCAAGGCGTTGGCTTCCTTTGTTTTAGGCTTATCGTCGTGCTCCAGTCTCATGTTCAACACGTAACCAGCCGACTACGGACCGTTTCATTTTCCCTGCAACGCATCCAACCCGCGAAGCTCTTAGTGTGTGTCAAAGGCACACTGTGCAACCAAAACTGATCGCTGGGTCGCAAAGCTGCAGCCACCAGTTGATGAAAGATTCTGGCCCAGGCGCCGGAAACCGATTGTTGATTTTGTTTGGTTTCGCAGTGGCAAGTGCCGAGCAACGATAGCTTTGGTTGGCAATTTCTTTTGTTGGAAGCATTCGAGTGTAGCGCAACTCGCACCAATTCTTCAATGAGGCTCTCCATCATGATTACGATCTCACACCGGGACTTTGCTCCCAACGTCAGGTCGTCTGCAAGTTTGAATTTGTTAGGCCTTCTGACCCCGAGCGTAGCTTTCATGCCACAATGGCTTTCAATATCTCGAGCCCAGCGTTGAAAAGCATTGGGCTTTGCCCTGCTCAGCTCTGCTTCAAAGTGCTTTTCTCAGATCCAAGCTTGCGAGTCACACATCCACCCCACTCAATAGCTAGCAAGCCTTGGTGAAGCTCTTTGCTGCCGCGCTTGAACATCTTGAGCGCCAGGCCATCAGTACAGACCCTTTGCTGGTTCAAGTTCGCCGCATGGTGTGGCTGGAAGTCAGACTCACTTGGTTTTGGCTCACCGCCTTCGGTTTTTTTGCATGCGCGGGTGGTGCAATCTCATGTTTTGCCTCATCACCCCCGTCGGGCCGCTCATCAGCTTTCAGGTAGAAGTTGGTACGCTCCTTTCGTGAAAGGCGCGGGCAAACTCGCTTTCTTTTGGGCCTTCGGGTCTTTGCTTAGGAGCTGCTGAACTATCTCTCTTGCTTTCGATCTTGAACCTAAGAGGAATCCCAGTGCCTACTGGAGAGAGCAAGCATTACGTCTATCAGAGTAGGCCTTCAATCGCTTTTGGACGACTTTGTGCGGTCAAGCCCACGCGTTGGTTCAGTCAGACGCTACTGCAGCTAAAAGAGCTGTGAGTCGTCCGGGGCTCGGGAAAACGAGCCATGTCCACACAAGGCGCTAGTGGTTGCAAGGACATGCGCCTGTGTGAGTGTGTGCAGGCACTCCCCCCGCAAGCGATGTCATGAAGGGTAGAGAGACATCCCAACACGTTGACTGTTGTTCTGGGGCAGGAAAAAAGCTCCGTAGTGCATTTGTCGCGCCATAATGTTTTCTGACGCTGTGGCCCCTGGAGCCAGCACAGTACCAGCACAAGTGCACCAGACAACATGCAGAATGCCTTCAGAAACACACACAAGAGTGCCTTTCCAGAAGCTGCCGTTCGGAATGAATCAACGTGACCCCTGGAGGCTGGAGCAGCGCTTCCAAGACATTGCCAGCATGCATGGTTGCCAGGCAGGGCCGCAACTCTTGCATGGCCCTTGAGGCTGGTAGCCGTTTTCAAGCCTGATATTTGACATTCTTCCCGGTTCACTATTGAAAACGATAGGGTCAACGGCTCGGCACTGAAGCAGGGATATGGGTAGTAGATGCTTTAAGAAGTCCACGCAACGCTGTGCAAAAGCGCTTGTTGCCTCCAATCTCGAGTCATACTTTCCGAATGCCCTGGTGACCTCGCGTCAGCCCAGCTGATGGCTTGCATGGCGCGTGGAGCGTGTAGCGATGGGGGCTTTGGCCCTCCATGTGAGGCTCTGAACTGCATGTTTTCTGGGATGAGTTCGCCACTGTCGCTCTCGGCATGGCCCTGACGTTGTTTCCCTTACGGCCTTCTTGCTTAGCATCGATGTTTGACGGAATTGAAAAGATTGGAGTGGTCCTGTGAGGAGTCCTGTGTAGCTCCGAGTGCAGTTTTCCTTGGGACCCTGTTGGTTTGGTGAGGTGGACTGGATCACAGAAAGCAGGGTCACGCTGCAAATGGCGCTGAGGGAGGCTGACCGAGACTTGGCTTTGGTTTGGCTTGAGGCTGTTAGTTTAGCCTTTGGCCAAAGGAATGTTCCCTGACGAACAAGGCATAACATCTAGCCATAAATCAAAATCCCGTACCCAGTGAACTTCCCAATCCCCACTAAAATAGACTAAAATGGTTGGTGCACCTACCCCAAAATGGTACCATTGGTTTTGACCCACAGCCATCTCAGTTGACCAACCCAGGAGAGCTCAAGGTTTTGAAGGTCACCGCGGAGGAGCTTGGAACGGGCTTCGCGCGCACGTCGGTGCCAGGAGGTTTGTGCGTCAAACCCATCACTGGAAGCAATCAAAGGCAAATGGAGGTGACTGCGTTTGTCAAGCTACAGCACAAATGGTTCGTATCGTGTTAGATTGCTCTGGTGGTGAAGTTCCAAGACACCTTTCGAATGCAGATGGCCAAACGAAACCGTCATGTGCTTGAATTTTCCTCCCGCAGCAGGTCGAATAGGCAGGCATGGGTATCGATAATCAAGTACACGGATCAAACCACCCCCTAACCCCTGCCTGGCCGCACACTCAAAGAATAGGAAACACAAACCGGAGTGAAGATGTCGATCGGCCGAGCGGCGGGATCTATGAGGAGGTGCTGCAGCTCTACGACCACCTGTGTGATGGGAGCCGGGAGGCGGTGCCAGCCTCTGAGCTTCTCTTTGGGGTGGTCCGCCTCGTTAGTCCGGCTGGGTCCGCGGACTACTTGCAGGCGGGGCGCGCTCGCGGACTCGCCCTGAAGCTTTCATGAAACCAAAACCCACCCGTGGCTTGTACTGGCAGGCGATCCAAGTAAGAATTCATGTTTGCATGCTACTCTCAAACCTTGGCACACACAGGTACTGTAGGTATAAGGGTCCATTGGACCGTGTGACACGCTGTTTTGCACCCTCATTCTTTGGATACATGCTTCGTGCTAGGAAGCGCAATTGCTTGGTTGCTCAAGTATGCTCCGTTTTTGTGAGGTTGACCGCGTGGCTCAGTTGCCAAGGCATGCATGTCCTTGGCTCGTGTGTTGCCACACGTCGTGGTCATTTGGCCCAGTTCAAGAAGGCGGACATTTATTCAGTTTGCTGCTTGGAATGATTCGTCCAGGCGGTTGCTTGGGACCGCCCGTAGGTGGACCACTTGCAGAAGCAGTGCATCCAATTCACTGAGCTCTCCACCGCGATGCTGCAGGAGATCATGGCAAGTGGCCAGGCTGCCCTGGGCAGCGTCACGGACAAAGTGGAGGCTGGGCACAAGGTGACTTCTGACATGCGGAAGTGCGGGTAGAAAAGTAGCCGCATGGGACACGCCAAATGCTCCAAAAAATCGAGAAGTGCCAAGTGCATGTGCCGAAGCGAGCGGGTCCCGAGGCCTTGAGGACCCAGATCTCCACTCTGCGGCGCTCGGCTGCGAGGGCCTCCAAGGATCTCAAGGCAGTCATGACGCTCGTCCAGACTTGGGCTTCGGCTTCGCAGGTGATCCCAGCTGATTGCTCCCCTTCCGGCATCCAAATATATTACACACATATATATATATATTATTTATATATTATGCACGCTAAATATATATGTACAAATATATATATATATATATTGCATGCAGCGGTCAAGGTCGGAGGTGGAGAAGCAGTACGAGGAGTCCTCCGTGAGTGTGGACCGCACAGCCGCGATGCGAAACGTGCAGCTGAAGTTGGCACACCAGCAAGCGCGGAACGAAGTCTCGCTGCGACTGGAAGCGGCGAAAGCGGACGTGGCAAACCTGGAGCAGCTCGATGTACTTTGCCAGGTCTTCGGTTTCCCTTCCCCGCATGAGCTGATTGAGGGACCAGTGCCTTCTGGTAGCGAGGCGCGGAGGGGGTTGGAAATCTGGCACAGGGCGAGGCTTCAGAATCCAGTTCGATGATTGAATTCCATTAAGGCGGCTCTTCTGTAGATGCAGCATCCCTCCCTTCGACTGACTGCATCGACACGTGAAGCCTGAATGCCAACATTAAATGCTAAGTGCACATGCTTTGTGAGATGGTTGCATGCTCCTCGGCTCCTCAACTTCTGACTAATCCTGCTGTTGCGGCAGTTTTGTGTTAGAAGGAGTGCAATTCCAGAGTTGATGGGGCCTACCTTTCCAGGAAATCAATCCACTTGAACAAACAGGCAGGTGGGTGTGCCGGGTTGCTGCTGTCACCAGCCCTGCCTGACGTTTCGCCTTTGTCAGGTTCGTCTGCTCAGACCTGGCAAACTTCTCAAAGAGAAGACAGGGTCAGATCGCCAGTTCCAGCTTGCAGCCGCCCTTCTGCGCACAGAGGTGAAAGCTCGCCTCCAGGAGAGGTTGGAGAGGTATTTCGAGGATGGGCAGGGGGAATGCTAGGTCCGAGCGGCCATTGCCCGACCTTCCGGCAGGTTCAGCTGTGTTTTGCTTTATGATTGATCTCGCCTCCTGCGCCGCTACAATGCGGGATGCTGGATGCTGCCATTGTTACCAGGTTGCAACAAAAGTTTCACCACGGCAGGCTTTGCCGATTTGAATCGCCCACAACGTGCACAAACGTTGCACCCCTTAGCCCGGCGCGCCGATGGGGCGCGGAACCCTCGCTTCCCCACCAGGAGCTCCTCAATCTCCCGCGCGAGCCAAGCACAAAACAGCGAATGGGTACAGCATGGCTCAGCATGAAGCATGGCCCAACCCCAGCTTGAGAAGCTGCATCCCCCAATCAGGTGAAGCAATTGAGCAGGTGGTAAACGATCATTTCTTTGAGGTTGTGATCTTGGGCTTTTGGTTGGAAGTGGTCCTGACCGACTCGCCACTAGCTCACTGATGAAGAAATCTCCTTGCTGTGCCCCTTTTTTGTCTTGCGTTGTATGCGACGTGGTCGTAACGTCGGTGGGTCGGTGGTCGGTGCAAGCCTTGAGCTCAGGCACAAGGGCAGCCCCATCATCGCTAGCGCGGGCCCCAGGGGCCGTGCAGATGAGTCCCATGTGCCAGTTGGTCAGGCAGCTCCATAGATTTCAAGTCAGGGTTCCTGACCGGTAAGGTTGCTGACAAGCGTTGGCGTTTGCTTTGGCATGTTGCTGTCTCTCAGGTGCTACCCCATCCAAGGTCCACTCCACGCCTCTCGGCGGCACAGATTCCGCCTGGAGCAGTGCTTGTGCAGTGTGCCACACGGTTCACATGCCAGGCCCTCCCGCATCATCAGTATTCGAACTCCGCTCCGGCCATGCTCCAGACAGCGAAGCAAGGCCATGATCGAAAGTAGACTTTGAACGCCGGCCTTGTGGAACCTGGTGCGCCGTGTGCGCCGTGTGTGCAGTGGCTCTTCGTGACTTCGCTCAGGAGGTCCAGGATGATGTTCGGTCGGCCTTGGAAGAGCAGCGCGGATCCTGGCTTTCGAGCTTGCGCATTGATCTCGTTTGGAGCGTGGCTGGCTCAAGGCACACCAACATGCGGCCGCATGGTGTTAACATGTGCGAGGAGAAGGGCGCAAATGATAAGTTTGTTGCTCCCCCGCTGGACCCCATTCCTTCCGAAGTCCGGCAAGAAACTTGCTAGCACTTCCCGAATCCCGACTTTTTGCAGTTGGCCGGCAGCTCCGATAGGCGCCCACGTCCTAGGTCTGCAGAGCTGCTGCGGGTAGCGTTGCAGTCGGGGGCTCGGCTGCATTGTGCCTGGCCGGCTGGGAATCGACCAATCTTTGCGAGGCGGCGGCATGTTTGTCCTAGAGACCATGCTGGGTGCCCAGAAGTTTAACATAAGTCCAACCTGATCAATCTCGTGCTGGCAGCTAGCCCTAGGCCTTGCATGAAGCCGTTCGACAGGCCTGGGAACGGGACGCGTTGAGCTAGTCGCCAGCGACAGATTGTGTAAGGGCGGGCAGTGGTATTCAGGGCCTGCTTGCAGACTCGAGGATCAAGCTGAACAGCAAGCCTGCCTTAGATGCTTTAGCCATGTCTCCACCCAAGATGCCAAAAGTTGGCCGTGCTTCTGCTGCTTTGGTCACTTTGGCACTCCTGTGGCATGGTCGTCCTTCGAGCTTCACCTTGCAGCGCGTGAGCTATGGCCAGAAGCTGGCACAAGAGGGGGATCTGCTGGTGCCTGAAGGGCGGTGCAGGGGACTGGTGATGCTCATCCATGGGGGGTTTTGGAAGGCTGGCTTTGATCGGAGCCTGGAAATCCAGGTGGCAAACTATCTCATCTCTCAGGACTTGTGCGTGTGGAATGTGGACTATCGAGCCGTGGGCTCCGGCGGTGGCTACCCGCAGACTTTGTCGGATGTGTCGCAAGCGCTGGCCTGGCTCGGAACTGGCGAGGCAGAAGGCTTGGGGGTCTCCAAGGATCTCCCACTGGTGGTGGTGGGGCATTCGGCTGGGGGGCACCTGGCAGCCTGGCTGGGCCTGCAAAGCTTGCTGGAGGACAAGGAGCAGCTGAGACCGCGGCTGGTCATTGCTCAGGCGGGGGTCTTGGATTTCAAAAGCGCCTATGAGGCCCACCTGGGTCAGGGTGCGGTAAGGGACTTCCTCGACACACCTTTGCCGGAGTCCTGTGCCAGTCCGCTCCTGGCCGCCGCGAATGGCGCCGTCGCGGACCTCTTGTCGAAGCCTCGGCCGGATGCGGAAAAGCGCCTATCAGCCTCTGACCCGTTGACGCTGCTGCGCCGAGTGCCCCCGCAGCGCTGGACATCCGAGGCACACTTCGGAACAGGATCGTTGAGTGTAGTTGAACGCAACGTCCTTTTAAAAATCGACGAGCGACTGCCAGGGCATTGTCGAACTGAAAGTTTGAAGCTACATGCCGTTCAGGTTCCATCAAACGTTGCATTCAAAACAGTTGAAATTATGGATTGGCAGTGGATTGGGGGCTGAGCTGTGGATGCAGGGCTCCGCCAGGCAAATGTTATAGGCAACTCATGTCACATCAAGTTTTTGTGTTTTTTATGCATGTTCCATTGATTCGAGATGCATCATATGCATCGGAGCGGGCCAGGCGCCCGCTTTCGGTTTGATCCACGGGGCAGAGGATCGGATCGTGCCCCCCGAGCAGAGCCGCGCCTTCCATGAGGCCTTCCCGGGCAAAAGTGTTCTGCAGGAGGCGGGGGGCCTTCCGTGAGGCGTTTGCAACTTGAGCCCAGTCTGAACCATTGCCCTCTGGGAAGTCTGGCTCGCCAACTAAGTGCGCATATGATACACCTATATAGACATATATATACATATATTTTTACAGGGCGTCCAGCAATTAGGGCTCAGATGTGTGTAGTCACCACCCCACCTGCCTTGCGCCGGAGCCACATGTGTCACAGGTTTGAACCACTTCAGCCAGCTTTCCCACTGGCCCCAGGTGCCTGGCGAAGGACACTTCGAGCATTTGCAGTGCGAGTCCCGGGTGTGGTCACTGGCGGCGGAGCTGATTGACTCCTATCTCTGAGTTGTCCGACCTGCCCATTTGGGCAGCGGATCACAATCCCTTGGAGACGGCTTGCCAGTTGATCAAAACAGGGAAACTATCAATTCGGAGCGAGCCTTGGCGCTGCTATGCCTGCCTGCCTTCAGCTGCAAGCAGGAACTCATCCAGAAGAAGAGCAGCCTTTACCACCTCTCCTCCCACCAGATATTGTCGAGCATTTTAGCTTCAACAGGGCGTACCTCCGAGACTCTGATGGCGGGGACTTCTATCCGTCAGGATGCCACAGCCGATCCATTTCAAAGTATGGCATTGATGCAACGTATCGCAGTCCAAAATCTGCAAGGTCTCCATTCTGGGAGCACCTTGCCACCTGTTTTTGAGCTTCGGGGCAGTTTTCAGGGTCAACCATGGACAGAACATGTGAGCACTTGGGGGGCATGCCAGGATTGGCCAGCAAACGTGTCGGCCCGACCATCGCGCCAGGGCAATTGTGCTGCTGCGCGCCTGTTGCTGCAGAACTCTGTCAGAGCCTCAAGGCCGTCTTTATCTTCAGGGCACAATGATCAGGTGAGCAGAAACCAAACCTCAACAGGCCTGGGCACAGGAGGAAATGGCTACATGTCCTTGCAAGAGCAAATTTGGACTTTTGGTTCTTCCTGGTCTGCCATGAAAACATTTCCTTCAGCATGCAGCGAGCCCTGAGGCAGAGCCCAACGACCGCTGCCTTTCCTTTGAGCGCGGCTGTGAGCCATGGACCCAGGCGTTGGGAACTGCGAGCTGGCACGGGCACAGGGCACACGGCACGGGGTGCGCGGCTGCTTTGAAAATGGAAAAGCAGAATGCTGCTGCTGCTTTTTTGACTTTTCGCATGAGTTGAAAGTGGACAAGCCTGAGTTTGGGTTTCCTGCTTTGCTAGAGTTGCTGTTTTCTCAGAGCTAAGGGTCCAGAATGTCACAGCAGAACATGGAAAGGTGCCACCAATATGTGCGACGCCCCGAGCCCCGCTTGGCGACCCAGGTTCCCCCTGCAGCTGGCGCTTTCCTCCAATCTGGTGCGTCCATCAGAAAGATTAGAGGCACGGCTTGGCGAGGCAAAAGCAGGATAGGCTCAAAATCATAGCATGTTGGAACTGATGGCTGGGCCTGCTGACTGCCCAGTCATAAAACATTGCGATTCGCCCACTGCCCTTGCCCTGTTGCAGATGGTGGACATGCTTCTCCAAGCACGTGCTGATGTCTCCCAGCGCCGGAGCGACCCAGAGGCGCTCTTCCTACACCGCTGTTCTGCCATGTGTCAGTCCAATTGCAGGGGTGCCCTCCGCTGCATGATGCCATTCGAAGAGGAGATGCCGCCATAGTCCAGCTTTTGCTGAGGCGGGGGACAACCGCTTGCAAGTTGCGTGACCCGCATGCATTCGAATGAGAGGTACCAGGCAGATCCCAATGCGACCAACGCGTTTGGCGAGGCAGCGCTTCGTTGGGCCGTTGGGTGTCGCAGAAGGGCGACGGTTGGTTCCCCGAGCTCGAGTGAGTCAATCAATCATAATATCATTCAGTCCTGATGACTGGACGGTGCGCACAATGATATTTTTCGCTTACTTGCCTGAATCAGGCTTCACTAGGGAGGGAACACTTCACACAAAGATTTGCGAAATTTCATTGAACAAGGTGCCTAGTTCATTTGCTTTCCTTGTGCTGAATGAAAGTCAATGAGTTTGAAGCGACCCGCAGCAGGAATGCGACTGAATGTTTCCCCGGATCCTGCGGGCAGGCCCCGTTGGAGCTGGCGGTCAGAGGACCATTGGCATGGGCTTTCGAGGAATGCGCCCCAACTGTACCTGGCCTGGGTGCATGTGGAAACCTTTGCTGTTAGATATGGGTTTGTCTCAGGAAAGCCACAAAAACCAGCAGTTTTCCTTGAGTTTCCATTTTAAACCGCCCAAAAAGGGGTACCCCTCAACACAACGACAGCCCCATATAGCAAAAATGCCAGTCGCAGCTGCTTCGGCTGGCAAGACAACGTGGCAAGCTGCAGCTGTCCGCTTTCCGCTCCTTGCGGATTTTTGAGCACGCGGGTTGCCCGGGAGCTTGCACTACTGAAACCGTGTGCCAGGCCAAGTTGCGTGTTCTAGAGTTTTCTGAAATGCGTCACTATTGGATGCAGCTCGTGAGGAAGCCCTTTCGTCGCGGTCAGCGACTCGGCCTCGCTCATGGAGGCTGGTCGGAACACTGGAGCAACGGTCAGGGATGTACAGCAACTTACGAACAGATGAGCATCCAGATTCAATATGCAACACTGGCCGACATGCTATTGCAAAAAAGCAAGATTTCTCCAGTGCTTTCAGTTGCCAAGAGCAGATTGACTAAAAACGCAGGAAAAGGCCATGTCTCTTGCTTTTTGCAAGAACCTCTTGCGTTGTCTTGCAGTCTAGGCAAAAAGAAGGGCGGGGGGTCACCCAAGACGTAAGAGCACGGAGGGGTTTGTTCCAGGTTCACAAAGGCGTTTCTGCCTTTTCAGATTCCTTTCACCTTTGCGTTGCTTACTTTGTAGAGCCCGGTTCTGCACTACTGTTTTTCCGGTAATGGCCTCCAGGCCGCGGTCCTCGTAAGTTGGCCTCTCGTAACTCGTGGCACGTGGAGTTCAAAAAATCCACCTGCGCACCTCATTCGGTAACTCCCTATTCCTTCAGCTCTAGCAGGGCAGCTGTGCCGTTGCAAAACGGCTCAATAAAATCAAGATCAGCCAAGCAGCCAATGCCATTGCACAGCTGGAGCCGCTTCGCCCCAGCCATGAGCCCTGCAAGGCTCTTCTGCAGTCAGGGGCGTGTCCACTGGTGCCAGGTGCGTTGGGAGATCCGGGATGTGCGTTGTCCTGTGCGGGCGTTTCCTTTCGAGGCTTGATGGAAGTCACAAGGCTCATTCAATGGACGGGAAAATGGAGGAACGTTGACTAAATGTGAAAGATAGTGCTGTGAAGGAAACATATGAAAACATGTTCATTTCGATTAGTTTTGCGACCTGTTTGCATGATGACTGCCTATCCCCCGGTCAAGGTTTGACACGCACGAAACGCTGAACTAGCAAGCCCTGCCTGGTCTCCGGCGGATGGACATTTCGTAGGCAACCGCGCCTTTAACAGAACGGACATCAATGTGCTATTTGTGAGCAAGTCGCAGAGATTCTATTCATTTCTTGCCAGCCCAGACTCGGCCCAAAGCCAAAGCCAAAGCCAGGCCTGATGGAGCCAGAGCACTGTGGCATGGTAGTGCAAGCCTCAGCGCCGCATGCACCCGTTGATTTCGCCACAATGCCTGGTGGGTTGCAGAAATATAGCCTCACCCCATGACAATCAATCAAGTACATATCTTATATCTTTGCTAATTATTGGCAACGGGCTGTCTCAGTGAGCAGGGAGCAAGGCCTGCACACCACGCAGAAAGGGTTGCATGTTCCCCAGACAGGCCTGCCGAGTTGGCTCATTTGTTTTCCTCGATCGCCTGAGAAGCATAGGATCGAGAGCATGTGCGACGAACCCCGAGGCCAGCAACGGTAAAGTAGTGCTGCCTTGTCGGCTCCTTTCACTTCATGGAGCCACGCACTGGCCGCAACATCCCAGGTGGATATGCGATTGCGCGAATTGCTACAGAGCTGGTCTGCCTGGTGCGGAGCTTGGCCATTGCGATTGCTCAGGCAATGCAGGGATAATAATACAAGAAGGTGCCCCAGGATTTGCCAGGGCACACATAGTCATTGCTTGAAAAAGCCTGAAGACACGTGTAGTACTAGAGCATCTTAATGGAATTGCGTACAGAGGTCTGGTTTCGCTTGAACCGCCGACCTTTTCTCTGTTGCGCTGCATCTTGAAATTGGTAATGTTGCTTGAGACTCGAGACCTTCGTCAGAGGGAGGGGGTTTGTGTTTGCCGGTACGCACTTGAACGAAAAACGATTCACACAAGGCATCTGCCATGCAGATTGAAGCCGGGTAGAGTCGTTGAAGGCTTCCGGGCCTGTCATTTTGCAGAACAGAACTGGGTCTATGGCCAGAGCCGAATGGCAGTCATGCCACTCTCCCAAAAGCCTCGGTGTTTTGAGCCCAGTGCGCGATGTGCGCGACTGTTTGGTTTTTGGCTGGCCCGCCTTGTGTTGTACGCTCCTCCTTGACCTCGGCTTCCAAGGTGGCGTTGCCGCATGCTAGCCTGGGTTCGCTCTAGAGGCGCGACATTCAAAACCCAGCTGTGAGTTGTTTGTGTTGAGGCCTACACGGGGGGCAAGGGGTAGGGTCGGTGGACCTTTCTTTTACTGAGGCAACATATGACAAGAGACAAGGTGGTTGCACTTGGACGGTGGTGTTGAAGGAGGCTGGTGCAAGATAAGACAAAAGAGGCGTTGTAATCGCAGGTGAGAAGCTTTGCTTATACTGCAGTGTGGTTGCCTTGTGTTGATGCACTGGGATTGTCCTGCCCGAATGTTCATCATCATCATCATCATCATCACCATCACCATCACCATCACCATCACCAGCACCAGCATCAGCATCATCACCATCACCATCACCATCACCATCACCACCCCACCACCACCACCACCACCACCACCACCACCACCACCACCACCACCACCACCACCACCACCACCATCACAACCACCGTCACCAGCACCAGCACCAGCACCAGCAGCACCACCACCACCACCACCACCATCATCACAACCACCGTCACCAGCACCACCACCATTACCATCCTTGTGAGCCAGGATCAGGGCCACTGTGCAATATGGTGCCCGATCTCTTGCTAAAGGCTGCTTGGCTTTTTTGGCATTGGGATGCTAGCGGTGTGCTCCTTGCTACTGCTGTTCTCTTTCCCTACACTTCGAGTTTGTGGGAAAAGGCCGGCGGGCCTCCAGAGCTTGCATGCTCTGCCACTGGCTTGAAGTAGCTTTCCAGTCGGCGTGCGGGGGCAGAAGACAACATGCTTTCAGGAGGGGCCATGATATGAAGTTTGCATCCGGGCCAGGCCTGAAA